CAGGCAGAGGCCCTGGGATCAAATCTCTTCGCCACCCAAATTAAAAAGAATTTCCACGTGCTAATCAGTCAGAAATTCTTTCAAGATTGGTCTTTCTATATTTCTTGATCTCATTCCAGGTTGTCACACTTGGACTTCTCTCTTTTTCTTTCTTTCTACCCGTGCTTTTGATCGCGAACTGAAAATTTAACAAGTGGTTTCAATGGCCTAATGCTTGATAAATGATACAGACTGCTTCAATTTTATTTCCACTTTTGAAATTCCATTTCAAAGAGGTCAGGTTCCATACAGTTGAAGGTGAGATTTCTCAGGATTTCACATAGTTAATTTCTCCGTCTTTTATAACTATCTGATCACCGCCAAGACTTTTTAATTTGTAATGTTTATAGCGATGAAGCACCTTTTGCAATCTGCTAAACTGGCTGATGAGAAAGGGATTGCTCCAGGTGAAAGCCATTCGGATTTCAAGCAGTTTTCGGACAGTATAATACTGAATTTGGTGGAAGCTTTGCATGAGGTTTACTTTTAACATTAAGCTTCTTCTTTTTGGATAATGAGAAAGTAACACTTTGATTTCTATATAATGCAGGAGCTTGAAACAGAGATATATGCACATATGTTGAATACATTACGACTGTGCCTTCAGGTTCGTGATCTTTAAACACTGCTTATTTGTTTTGATCCAAAGTTTTCAGTGTTTCACTATGAGCTAGGTATGAAGTTTTTGGAACTGTTGCCTTTAAGTCTATTGCTTAAAATGTTCCATTAGTATCATCAAAGTGAGAAACTAGCAATGGTGACAAAAATCGAGTTAGAATGGCAAAATAGGATTTTTCAGGTTGTATATGGTCCTTGTGTTTCTTCTTTCAGATATGTGGACCACTTCTCAATGAAGATCAGCTTCGTCCAGTCGTGGATGAGATAAAGCATGTCATTACAGAAAATTTAAATAGCCAAGGAAAACTCACAGAGAGAGAAAAAACAGAAGACTTCGATGCTGAGGAAGCTGAATTGCTGAGAGGGGAAAAACATCAACAAGATCAAATATTTAAACTTGTATGTTCTATATTAAAACAGGAACTAAAGTGATACACTGTTGTCTTTATATATTCAAGCATTTTCGCTTTGGTTCTGCTGTTATTCTTGAACAGGCTGGTGGCATATTAGGTAGACTAATCGAATCATTCAAGGTTGTTTTCTTGCCTTACTTTGACGAGCTATCATTATATCTGATTCCGATGTGGGTAAGTTCATTGACACTATTGTAACATGACGTTAGTTTATCATTATTCATATCTAGCATATCTTATTGTTTCCGATTTTTGTTAAGGACAAAGAAATGACAAGTCTAGAGAGATGTACATCACTTTATATCTTTGGTGGTCTTGTGAAGCATTGCTCTGAAGCAGCTCTAAAGTGAGTTTAATTTATCTGTATGAGTTTTTCTTAAATTATTGGGGTGTCACCATTTTGATAAATCACTTACTTCCTATGCCAACTAGGTACTGTAATGAATTTCTACCTTTGCTTCTGAAATCAAGCAATGACGAAAACCCAGCAGTTAGACAGGTTTGGATCATCGTGATTGCTTACATTCCTGTTACTCAAGTTGGTTGCTCACAGTATGGTTTAACCAAAACACCAATGACTTCATGTTCAGAATGCTCTACATGGACTTGGGTTTTATGCAGAATATCATGGTTCTGTTTTCAAACCTTTTGTTAGAGGTATTAATATTGTTGAATGTGATACTTCTAATCAAGCAAGTGTTTTTGTTAACTTACGCGTTTATGTTCAGAGGCTATGTCACGGATCAATGTAGTGATAATGCATTTACGTGCTCGTGAACCTGAGAATGAACTTGCATATGATAGTGCTGTTTTTACCCTTGGTAAAATATTTCAGTTTCATCGAGAACTTATCGACTCAGCCCAGGTTTGTCCTTCTCAGAATCCCTAATGTTAAGTCTTGTTATAATTTCTGATTCTGAATCCTTGTGTAGGTCATTCCCATTTGGTTGAATTGCCTGCCTGTAAAAGGTGACTATGTTCATGGTCAACTATGTTCCATGGTTGAAAGGTATTGGATTTGTTTGCAAACTCTAATATATATCTTCATAAAATGCAGGATTATTTTATCCCACGTTTAGTTGAAAGTATTATGTAATCATAAGACTATTTATCCCACCATTTATACCTTAGTGATGTGATAAGTTATTTCATTCCGAAATAGTTGATGTCAGGATAACTTATTCCAAACCAAATGACCCATTAATGATTTATCAAATTTTCTCAATTTCAGGTCAGATAGAGAACTTTTGGGTACCAATTATGAACACTTCCCAAAAATTATGTCAATTTTTGCAGAGGTTAGTTCCATATCAGAATCTATAGATGCCAGTTTGAGTTGTTTATTTGCTCCTGATAAATATTAAATGAGATAAGTATTGAAAACATTCCTAAATTAGGTGTAAATTATTAATTTCATAATCGAACTATTGACAATCTTAAAAACACTCATTTCTTTGACTAACTAAACTTACACTTCTGATCTTGCAACATGACCGAAATACATCCCTAATTTAGGGGTGCTTTCAACACTCCTCTATGAAATGTGGCAGATCAAAGATGTATCTAAGTTTAATCTAGTCAAGTAGAGATGTGTTTTTAAGACTATCAATAATTCAAGAACGAAACGAACAATTTGTGTCAAGTTTAAGAGTGTTTTTGAATCAAACTAAAGACTTTTTTTATTCAATTTCGTATAGTTAATTTAGTTTCACTTTTTAAGGTTATATGTGGTGGAAAACATCTTGCTACAGAAGAAACAACAAAGTGTATGATTAATCTGTTGAGGAATCTTCTTAAAGAACTACCACCAGACACTTTGACATCAGCATGGTCATTGATATTGCCTCAGCAAGAAATGGAACTAAAAGCCATTTTATTTCCTGGAATACTTCATGTGGTACGTTTTCACAACAAAACATTTTGTATGCTTGACACTGATACCAATGAAAGCTCTCCCCCTTACTCTTTACCATCCAAAATTGTCAAACTTCTTGAGGAAGAACACCAGAAAAATAGTATTATTGTTCCACAAATGTAACTTATAAACCATAAATTGTATCTTTAATTAAGTTTTGTATCATTTAAGTATACAAGATGATACTATAGTTGATTTGTGGGGAATTGAATATGTAATTATCATTAGATTATCTATTTTATATCTTTTTACGATTTATCTATCCATTAGGAATTTCTTTATTTTAATTTTTCATAAGTTGAAATTCATATTGTGGCATATAATAATAATTATTTATTCAAATTAAACAAGTCAAACCTTAAGGACCTAAAATCTAAACCTGACGGCATAAACCATAAACCTTGAGGGGTCGTTTGGTGTGAAAGATAACTTTAAATAGTCCTGCGATTAAATTATAATGTCACTAAATTTGTTGTTTGATTGGCAATTTCGTGATAACTTATCTCGTGATTAATAATTAATACAAGGATAAATTATCCCTTCCCTTGGATGGTACAATAATCCCAAGACAATTTATCACGAGATAAAATGACTAAATGACAAAAATATCCCTTTAAATACTTTTTATACATTACTTTTCATATTCATGAACTGTATTTTTGTAAGCATATATGTTGTTCTTAAGATTTATTATTTTGAATATAACAAACCAAAAATTCAATAAAAAATAATATCAATATAACTTATCACATCATCACTAATTCCATCATAACTTGAATTCAAACCAAACGACTTCACCTTAGAGCCCAAAAAATAAACTCAAAACTCAAAATCATAAACCCTAAACCTTAAACCTTAGGCCTCAACCTTAAAGTCTAAACCATAAACCCAAAACTCAAAAGCTTGGGGCCTAAAACCTAAGATTTAGGATTTATGGTTTAGGATTTAGGATTTAGACTCTAAAATTTATATTTTAGGGGTTATAGTTTATAGTTTTGACTATAAGATTTAGGATTTAAGATTTATAATTTTAGAGTTTAGGCCTTATGGTTAAGTGTTTAGAGATTAAGATTTATAATTCATGTATAAATTAAACTATAGGGTTTAGACCCAAGGTTCATATGGTTTTATGATTTGTCAAAAGCCAATTTGAGGTCAATCTCTAAGCACAATTGAACCAAACCCATTTGAACCCAAAATAAATTTGAATGGATTGATCAACTTCGTGATTTTTTTCTACACTTTTGACTCTTCATCACCTTTCTACAATTACAATTGTTTCACAAATCCTTTTTTTAAAATCTTTCAAACATAATTATAAAAAATATCCATTCTATTTCCTAATCCCTTTCATAAAACAAATAATCAAAATAGCCTCAGAAGGAAGGCAGTAGTATAGTCGTAATCATGATTTTGATCATTAACGCAAAACTACTTCATCATCGGCAAAAATTAATAATAATTAAAAGAAACAAATAAACAATAATCGTTGTAATGCTTGAAAGTTTTGCAATTTACTTTATTCAAAAAAATTTACTATTGATTTTGATAATGTATTTCTCAAAATTGTTGTGTGAAACATAGGAGTAAAATTTTGACCAACAATAATTTTGACATAAGTAACATACATCTAAACTCTAAATTAGAAATAAATGAAGTGAGCATAATCTTTAGGACTTAAAACCTAAAACCTTTTTAAGTCATAAATCCTAAAACTTGATAACTTAAACCCAAAACTCTAAACCTTAAACTCTAAACCTTAAACCATAAAACTTAAATCATAAAAACTTAAATCCTAAAATTTATGATTTATGATTTACTATTTTAGATTTAGAATTTAAAATTTAGAGTTTACAGAATATGGTTAAGTGTTTAAAGTTTTATAGTATAAGATTTAGGCCTTAAAATTTTAACAACTAGGCCCTAAAATTTAATATTAAAAATACTGCATTTGAACATAGTAATAAATAATAATGTAGTACCCCAACGTCCAAATACACCACAAAAATTAGATGCAAAGGATAGCGAGGGGAACATTTTTTATAGCTTCACTTGCTAAAGTATCACACTATAAAAGTGTAATCCACAAAATATAATTAGCAAAGCATAGTATAATTAACAACATATTCAATAAAATCCTGCAAATCTACGTAAACCTTATCATTATCTCATAAAAAATAAAATAAAATATGAAAACAACTCAGTCCCTTAGATGTTCAATTAATTGCGATCATCTTCGCAAATCATTACAGGTCTGTAACTGTAAAAAATTAATCATCATTGTTGTTTTCATATACAATGATTAGAATAAAATATATATAAAAAATTTTGATGAACAAACTCAGTCCCTTAGATGTTCAATTTTTTGCGATCATTTTCGCAAATCATTACAGGTCTGTAACTGTAAAAAATTACTCATCATTGTTTATTCATCAAAAAAATTTAAAAAAAATTGTAGCTGCTCCAATTGTTCTCCACAGATTAAATTAAATGAAGAGAAAGATGAAAAAGGAACAACACACTTACTATTGCTTCAAGGGAACGAGTTGGTCAAAAATAAATTATTTCTTGCCAACCAGATTAAAGAAGCATATAACTCAAAATATATACACATACACACAAAAATAAATAAAATAAATTTGGAATTTAGAAGATATCACCATTGTTGAAGATTTCAATCTGCAGATTCAGAGGAAGGGTAATTGTTGTGTTATATTGCAGCTTAGTGGTTCTATTTATATAGTTGAGTGAGATGAAGCTAGGGTTTTGGGGAGTGGGCTTTTAACATGGTCATGAAGTCATGGCCCAAACGTATGAAGCCCATTTATTTTAAACCCTGTTGGGTTGTCTTTTAAGGGGTGGTTAGGTAGCTGGATAAGAACTTCATGTATTAATTTTCGTATAATTTATAGGCATAATACATAAACATGATTTTTAACTTGGTTTCAGCGGATAACTATGCCCTCCAACTTTGAGTATGCACAAGTAGACACTTAAACTTGTATAAAATTGAATAAGTAGACACACGTGTCTTACATGGCATAATGTATGTAGGATGTCATGTAGGACACAAAATTTCCATGTAGGGTGTCATGTAGGATAGATGTGTTTATTTGTTCAATCTTATACAAGTTTAAGTGTCTACTTATGCACATCCAAAGTTAAAGGTCATAGTTACCGGCTGACGTCAAGTTAAGGGTCATGTTTATGTATTATGCCTAATTTATATGATGTTTTGTAGGTCGATAACAAATATGTTATTTATGTATGAATAAATACGACGTTTGGTTGACAAAAATTTAATAAACTACATAACTAGTACATGTATAAGTTATGAGGGAATTTATGTATTGTTTTATTCAGGATAGAAGGTGAAATAATTATTGTGTATAACTAATACATCACTTACTAATACTTGCATAGAATATTAAATTGATTAACTCATGATTAATCTCTACATTACTAATAACTGTAACTAGCTATCAAACGACCCAAATGTGATATTATTTAGTACTTTGTTAGGTACAAATTTTGAGGTTATGTATAATTAACTAGCACTGCATATGGAGTATTATAGTATGCATAACTAATACACTCCCAAGTTAGATTGCTTGAAGTTCATGGGGTGAAAAATATACAAAATTCATACACCAAAAAAATAAATTTGTATATTTTAAGAAAGGGAAAATGGTTCGAAATATATCTGAACTTTGACCGAGATTGTTGTAACAATCCCAAACTTTGGGTAGGACCTATTACCCCTGAATTATTTAATAATATATTTTAAAAGATATATAAGTGTTCACGTGGACATCATAAATATTGCATCATAATAAATAGTAACTTGTTCAGTTGGACACTTATATATTTTTAAAATACACTATTAAATATTGCACGAGGATATTTGGTCCTGCCCAAAATTTGGAATTGTTACACTAATTTCGGTCAAAGTTCATATACAAAAGTTTAAGACCAAACCTTAGATACTTGGTCTAAGGGTTTCACATAAGTTAATTGGGAATTTCAGACATATAAAAAAGAATGCAACATTAAGTCCACCAATAAGGAATCGCAACGTATATGTTGTCTTTACTTTTGGAAATCGTTGTTGTCCTAAATTTCATTTGTTTTTCGTTGAAGAAGACATGTTATATAATATATACTATATCAACTTGACGTTATAAAAGGTAATCATTCTTCTTGGTACTTAAATTTAAAGGGTCATTAACATAATAATCCTAAATTTTGGATTTATATTTATGTTTAGGCATGTAATACACCATCTTATAACTAGCAAGATTTGTGAATTGATGTGACATTTCTCCATTTTAAGGCATCTTTCAACTCAAATAGATCCCCAATTTAGTACTATATATTCCCAACTACTTTTCCTTTTGAGTCGAGCGTTTAACAAATTCCATTTATACTTTGTAGTATAATTCCCAACTAACACAAAAGCTCCCATGTTTTTCGTATATGTGGAGCTACAATTTTGAGTTCATAGGTTCTGAATTAAAAAAAAAAATTTATTCAGTAAATTTTTAAATGTAAATACATAATATAATTTGAAACTATCGAATTCTAATAAACTTGTAGCCCTAGATTAGAAACCTAGTAGGTTTAGTTGTTGTTGTTCAAGTTATAAAATGAAGCGTGCAACCAAAAGATTCTAATATTGTACCTACTATAGTCTCCATGAAACTAACATTATACTTATTGGATGATTTTTTATTTTTTATTTTGAAATTTTTTTAGAAGTATGATATGTATCCAAATGGCAGATTTTAGATAACCAAATTATTTAAGAAAATGATGAAAAAGTAAAATATAAATAGCAGGCCAGGTTCGTGATTGCAACTTAGTTTTATGGTTGACACATTACAAAGTTGTCCTAATTAATCTACCAAATATTATGCTATTTTTTGTCAATAACTAGACCATATTTGACTTTTATTTCTTTTAATAGTAATAATAGTTATTATTATAATTATACTATACATTTTGTACTTTGTGACATGGTATCTAGAATCATGTACTGCCTAGCATGTCTCAAATTTTTTATGTTTCTCCCTTGTGAAATCTTTAAAATGATAATTTTAGAAGATTTTATGTAATTTTTATTATTAATTTTCATCTTTAGTTGAGTGAGTCAATCTTTTTTTTTTGTTTTGGATATTCATATTAATATTTTCTTGAAACGAAAGTAAAAATTGAGACATTAAAAAAGGTATAGCCATTTGATATTTGGTATTTATCACTCTAACTAATTCAGATTTACATATCGTTTAAGATTCATTAACGAGGAAAATACTTGTATTTAATTAAAGACAAAAGATATTATGTTCATTTTATTTTATTTCTATTCATGTATTCAACGAAAGGTAAGATCACTCCTTGTCAAGATAAACATAGGATATCAATATGTGCTTTTTGCGGACATCAAAAATTAGTTTTAGCGACAATTATTAGTGACAATAGCTTAATTGTCATTTTTAGCACTAACACTATTTTTTAAATGTCTCTACAATCTATAGCAATATTGAATCCAATGACAATTAACTAATGACGATAAAGACTTTAACACTCGTTAATGTGTATATTTATTATTGCTAAAGCTATTTTTATTCTAGTGTCATGGTTTACAAAATTGACAAAATGTGCCTTTTAAGGATAATAAATAGGACTTAAATACATACAATGTCATCATGAGTTCATGACTAGAACTTAAGAAAAAAGAAAAAAAAATCCATATACCCTTTATTAATTAGACATATAGTAGTTGATATGTTAGGTATTTTCATAATCCAAAATATTAATTATTATTGTTATTATATATATAAAAAGAAAAGAATCTCTATGAGATAAAATGCCAAAAACTAAGGCATCATTTCCCACCCCTTTTAACCAAAAAGACAAAGAACGTGCATAAGTGTGAGACTTGGAGCAAAAATATAGCAAATATAACAAACTAACAAACACACACAACGAACATTAAAATAATTTTAAACAAATATAATTTGGTTTAATCATTCATCTTAAACAAGTCATTTTTCCTTCATGACATAACATATTCCCACATCTTCTCTCCACAACACACATTTTCTTTTTGCTTCCATCCCGTGTTCGATATCTGTATTAAATCATCCATTAATTCAGATTCACGTTAAGTACAACTCATCTAAGTAGAAAATAAAAGACCCCTATAAGTATTTCCCCCCCTATTTTCAGTGCTCGAACACGAAACTCCTGATTAATAGTAGAACGATCTTATTATCCATCCCATCACAACACACAATTTTTTTTTGTTTCCTTCGGTATTGATTCAGATTCACACTATATAAAACTCAACGGAGAAACGTAGGATCCGCATAAGATTTTTTTTCTTCTATTTTCAGTGTTCGAACACAAAACTCCCAATTAATATTAGAACGATCTTATCCATCCCACCAGAACTCTATGTGGTTCACGCACTTCGAAATTTCAGTCAACTAATAAAAGAACAAGAAAATGAAGACAAGGCTCTCCATAAACTCCAAAGACTTATATAAACAACCTTAACATTGTCTCATTTTGTTTAAACATCTCTCTATTTCCTCTCCTATTAGTCCTTTTAACATCTTTTCCCCCTTCTTAACTTCCATATGGAACAACAACAACTACATAATTCCATCAAAAAATGTAGTCCTAAAGTTCAAAAACAGAGAAAATTTGTTGGTGTAAGACAAAGACCTTCTGGAAAATGGGTTGCAGAGATAAAAAACACAACACAAAAGATCAGGATGTGGCTTGGAACGTTTGATTCTGCTGAAGAAGCTGCTCGCGCTTATGATGAGGCTGCTTGTCTTCTCCGAGGATCAAATGCTCGAACGAATTTCCATAATCATGCCCCTCCCATTAATCCTGCTGTTTCTATGAAAATTAGAAACCTCATCAACCATAAGAAAAGCCTCAACAAAAGTACTAGTAGTACCAGTACTATTTCGACTTCAACAACTACTCATCAAGAAACTGCATTATCTAATGATGATGCATATAAGCCGGATTTGAACTTCTATATGGCTGAAATTGATCGAGTAGGATCTTCAAATTTCGATCATACATCAACATTTACAAATGATTTTGATACAATTCTTCTAGATGATGAAAATGTTGATAACTTTCATGACGTACCAAAGGAGATTCTTGAAGATCATTCTCAGATACCTGAATTTGAAAATATGAAAGTTGAAAGACAAATATCAGCATCACTATATGCTATGAATGGAGTGAATGAATATTGGGACAATTTTCATGATGGTAATAATAATGATGCTACTTATTGGGATCTCCCTATGCTCTATCAAATGTTTTGTCCAAGTTAGAAATTGCTCCGACTCTTTAAAGATATATCGTTTGGTTGTATGTTGGATTTATCAAAAGCTATACATATTCAGAGGATTCGATACTTTCAGAAGGTCTAAGTTAGGATTGTTTTAGGCCTTTCTCAAATCTATTATCAAATCAAGCTATACTCAATGAATTTCAAAGTTATTGAGCATTTTTAATATATATTTTTTTGGGTACATTAGAAATAATATAATATTTCATAAGCTATGTTGTTTAAATCTATCGAGGAAAAAAAAAACTCCATATTTTTTATCGTTCTTTCCCATACTAACAAAGCTTTATCATGTATGTGACCTTCGTTTTGCCAGAAAGGCAATACGTTAGTTTGTCTCTTTAGGTGTGTACAATATTCATATTGTTAAACTTAAATAAGTATTTACAATCTTCAATAATAACGATAAGAAGGTGATGTTTTATATAAAATTATCTGCACGTCAATTATTTTTATTGAAGAGTTATCTTGATTATTAGAATTACTAATATTTAATGCTCCTCCCAAATAAATAGAATAATTTTGTGTCTAGAAGTCTAATGATAATGGACTACTTTACACTTATTTTTTTTCTCCCATTAACTTGGAAAAGATTCAAAAGCCAACTTAAATAAAAAAACAACAGCAAAAATAAGTTATAAAACTAGAAACCCATATATCAAATTAAAAATTATTTTATTATAAAGAAAAGAAAAAAGTATTCCTATATACTCTTTAAGCCCCAATTTTATTTTAAAAAAAAAAAATACACTTTTCACTAAAGTTTAATAATAGACCACAAGTATTTTCCTTTATTAGCCCATCAAGAAATAAAAGTTGTTCAAATTTCCAAAAAAGCACCTATAATAATTAACTAAACATAACTATCAAATAATTTGATGCAGTGTATGAGTCTGCTTCTTTCTTAATCAGAATTCTCATATTCAAGTTTTAGGTATAAAATAAATTTGCGTATAGTAGCGTTTCCACTGAATGGAATCCTACATGACACGAAATCCTACGTAAACGAATTCAGATTAGTCAGACTCTAATGAGGGACAGGAATCTAATTATTTTTTTTTACTACTAAAAGGGGAAAAAGAAAAATAGAAAATAAATAATAAGAGTGGAATTACAGGAGGGAAAACCACCAAAGAGAGTCTCATGTAATGGCGAAATAGCCACGTCATCACTTGTTACCTTTCCCTTTCTTCAATAAAAAGAAACTTCTTTTGAATCAAAATCCTTATACAACTCTTGTTCTGCTTCTTTCAATTCACTCAAAAGACTTCCAATTGCATATAATTGTGAAAATTTACTCAAGTAGGTTGTTCTGCTTAAGTTATTGTACTTATTGTGTAGTTTGATGTATTTACAGTTTGGTTCTTGATACTGTGTTTATTCAATTGATTGCCGTTTGTTTTCTGCAGTTTAATGCTTTTTGATTTGTGGGGTTTAGTTTTCTTGAAGTTATTTCGTTCTATTTTGTTTAAAGTTTGGTTCTTGACAGTTGATACTGTGTTTGTTCAATTGATTTCGGTTTGTTTGCTGCAGTTTAATGCTTTCTGATTTGTGGGGTTTAGTTATCTGGAAGTTATTTTGTTTAAAGTTTGGTTCTTGATACTGTGTCTATTCAATTGATTTCAGTTTGTTTTCTGCAGTTTAATGCTTTCTGATTTGTGTGGTTTTGTTTTGTTGAAGTTATGTTATTCTACTTTACTTAAAGTTTGTTTTTTGATAGTTGATACTGTATTTGTTCAATTGATTTCAGTTTGTTTGCTGCAGTTTAATGCTTTCTGATTTGTGGGTTTAGTTTTCTTGAAGTTATTTTGTTCTATTTTGATGTATTTAAAGTTTGGTTCTTGATAGTTGATACTGTGTTTGTTCAATTGATTTCGGTTCGTTTTGTGCAGTTTACTGCTTTCTGATTTGTGGGGTTTAGTTTTCTTGAAGTTATTTTGTTCTATTTTGTTTAAAGTTTGGTTCTTGATAGTTGATACTGTGTTTGTTCAATTGATTTCGGTTTGTTTGCTGCAGTGTAATGCCTTTTGATTTGTGGGGTTTAGTTTTCTTGAAGTTATTTTGTTCTATTCTGATGTATTAATAGTTTGGTTTCGTGGTTGTATTTTCTTCAATTGATTATCAGTTTGTTTGTCAAGTTTAATGCTTTCTTATTTATTGGGTTTCTGTTTTCTTTTAAATTGTGATGTATAAGGTTCGAATTGTTGAATTAAGGTAGTATGTAGTTCACCATCCGAAGCAGAGCTGGGTAGTACCGAGGCCTTCGGCAAATTACACTCGTTATGGTTAAAATTCTTTTTTTATGTACATATAGTAGATTTGCTTTCCATTAGTACTTTCATTTGCTTCACTTGAGCCGAGGGTCTTTCCGAAACAACCTCTCTACCTCCAAGAGGTAGGGGTAAGGTTTGTGTACACTCTACCCTCCCTAAACCCCACTTTGTGTGATTTCACTGGGTATATTGTTGTATATACAGTAGATATTGAATCCCTTTGGCCAATTTGTGTGTTTACTTCTTCATATTTTGAACTCTCTTAGTGAAAATCCTAGCTCCGTCACGAGTTTGCATATCATCATGGTATGGTTTTATATGCGTGTGTGTTTTATGTGTAAACAAAGGAGAAACAAATTGTAGTAACTGGTTCTATTATTTTGAGGTTCTACTGATTAGTAAGATGTTAGTTGAGCTTCATCTGGGTTTCCTAAAAACCTTGCTGGCAATGAAGCCAGGCTGAAATCCTCTCATTCACTCCATTTTTTAATTTGTTGTTGTTGTACTTGTTATCGTTTAAGCTCATCACTACTTATCCCCTGCATAGACCCTCTTCCCCTTCTCAATGACCTGTTGCTCCAGGGTTCATCAGCTTGACTAGTTTCAATTGCATCTCTTTTCTGTCTTTCCATAAGAAGTAGCACGAAATTTCTGAATATTTACCCTAGGAGGTGAGTTCTGCATCCTTTATTTATGTATTTGCTATCTTAATGCCATTTCAGTTTGGTTCTTGAAACTATGTTTGCTCCATTGATTTCAGTTCGTTTTGTGCAGTTTAATGCTTTCTGATTACTTGTATTTTTTTCCGTTTTCTTGAAGTTATTTTGCTCTATGTTGCTGTATTTCAGTTTGGTTCGTGATTGTATTTTGTTCAATTGATAATCAGTTTGTTTGTCCAATTTATTGCTCTTGATATTTCTGGGTTTCATGTATTCTTTGAGTGTCTCTTTTCAATTGTGATGATCACAATATGTTGTTCGCATATAACTTCGGTGGGGTTTTATATATGTTTGTTCTATGTGTAAACAAAGGAAAAAACAAACTGTAATAAACAAGTACTTATTTCGAGTTTATACTGACTAGTAAGATGTTAGTTGAGCTTCTTCTGAGTTGCCTGAAAACCTCGCAAGAAATGAGGACATAGGCTGAAGATCCTCTCATATCACTCCAACTTTTTATTTCTTGTTGTTGTACTTGTTAGCATTTAAGCTCATCATTTCTTTTATCCTACATAGCCACTATTCCCTTTATGACCTGTTGCTCTAGTGCTCATCAATTTGACTGCTTTGGTGAATTTTGTCAGTCCCTGCATCCTCGTTTAAATTTCTCTTGTTGAGTATGCGGTTTGCTAATCTGAGCTCATTTTTCAATGAAGCTGGATAATAGGTATAAGCGACTACCTTTTTGAATCATACTCATTGATGGTGCATGTAAGCTGGGGTGTACATTTCTACTGAAAAATTGGTACAGAGCTTTATTGCAATAGTTCGAAGTTGGGGCCTTAAAAATGTCGAGCGGAGATGGCCCTAAAGTCTCTTGTGAAGAAATACAAATGGTATGCTTTCAATCTTTTTTAGATGAGTTGTGATCTTCCACATGTTACTTTATCTTTGGTTAGCTTTGTGCTCATTTATTAATCATTCTTCAAGAAACACAATTATCACTTCTCTAAAACACCAAGAATTTGTACTCGGTCCTCTTCCCCATTGCATGGAAAAATGTTTTACTGGCTCATTGATGATAATATTCAACAAATAAAATCCTTGGACTTTGTCTCCTTAGAGCATCTCTTTGGTTTTTTTTACATCAAAGAAATGGTTTTATTTTATGTTTATATTTCAGTGAACCTTTATAGAATGTTATCACTAATAACATGGAATTCAACCAATACCAAAAAAAAAGAAGCTTGGTTATCCTACTTAGATGATCACCAGCTGTTCCAAATTGAATGATCACGAGATCTGCACATAGATGTGTGAAAAGATGATGCTTGTTTTGAATTTCAGGTGCAAAATCGGATTGAGTACTGTCTTCGGCAATACATGAGTCGGAAAGAAGTTGTGAACACTCTCTTCATCCAGGACAACATAGAGCCTACATTTACTGAACTCGGTATGTTATATATTTTCAAGGCATACACTTACTTCCTCCATGTAATGTGGAGTGAGGACTTAACTTGGCAATTCCTGCAACACAGGTTTCAAAAGAGATTCAAATAAGGATCACAAAGCTTTTAATGGTTAATAATGGCTGCCAATATTTCTCACACTTCCTGAAAATAGCAGATACATTATCAAACAATTGAATGTACATAGAAAGTTCCAATCATAAATTATCAAAAAGAGTTTCTTTTGCCCATGAGTTTTAGCTCTCTATCACACAGCCGATGCTCTCTGCCAAATAATTAAAAAAAAAAATCTGACTGCCCTTCTCTGTTTGTGTGCCGTTTTTTAGCTGTCACTGTTGTCTCCTTTCTATCTCTAACTTTTACAGTAGAATGCTTCTTTTGCTGATGAATAATTGTATGAATGCATATGTAAATATTCTTGAACAGTTGTATCTACTCTCTAACACTTAGTTATCGGTGATCGGTGAGGGTTCTATTCCCTTTGTAATCCCCTCCCCCATTTCCCCTTTAATATAACGACTAATAAAAACACATATATCAAATTAGAGGAAAGTTAGTGGCCATACTAATCTTTTTTCAGTTTTTAAGATAAGTCTATTTCACAAATATTGCTATACTTTTTTCAATTTTGAAGATCATTCTTTTCACAAATATTGCTATTAACAGCTTCCTAAGCTTAACACTATTTTGAAGTATCAAGGATTCGAAGAAATTAATTTTCACAAATTCAGATTGCTATTAATAGCTTTACTAACATATTTTTGACTTTTTGTGTTAGATGTATATGTATGCTAGTGAGGCCATTTAAAACACATAATCAGTGGAATGTTAATCTGTGTCCATCCAAATAACTGCTGATGAATAATTGTATGAATGCATATGTGAATACAGTGAGTCATTGCTTCTGTCTACCTTAGTTATGGATTCATTCTTTAAAGGGAAAAAGGTCAAATTTTTCCTGTATTATCTGAAATTGAGCAACTTTGTCCTTTACTTAATTTTGGTCTAATATTATCCTTGTCGGTAGGAACAAGTCTTCAATTTCTTCTTTCTCGTTAAAAAAAAGACTTTTTCGAGATGGTAGCAAGTTTGTAATAAATTCATAAAAAGGCTGTGAAACCACAGTTACAGATAAAAGAAAGCAAAAACTGCTAAACTAGAAGAAAGTATCTACTGAAAACTGCTGAAAAAGACTATAGAGACTCGTAAGACTTGTAGAAGAATCTCAGTGTCTTCTATGTATTCTTTTTAAAACCAAAAATGAGAAAACAAAATATAACTTAGGTTTCATCTTTTGGACTGGGTTGCTTAAATTTGGTTTTCTGGTCTAGGATGCTATTTTGCATCTGTTGAACTTTCCAGAACAGTAATAAGAGTTTGAAGTAATATTTCAGAATTGGATCTTTCCTACATTTAAAAAGTACTTCTATAAAGTTCAGCTCAGAACTTTTGACTTCCTTTGAACTTGACATTTCTGTAAATTTGATCACTTCTAATTATCTGAACTCATCAGTGGGAGTAATGCTGCTACCTTTGCCAGATACCTGTGTCATTCTAGAAGCAATTGAAGTTATTTTTTACTATCCGTTTTGTTCCTCTGCTTATGAATGTACTCATGAGCATTTGCAGCTCTAGTAGGTATATTATCATGAAACTGATTTGAGGAAAGATGATATTAATACTAATGTGAAGCGAATAGTGCTTCTAATGAGCTGTTTTGTATAACATGTAAATATACTGTATGTTCTCTCTTCTGTTTTATTTTGTCCTTGTTTCCAGTATTGCCTACAGGCGAGTAGCAATTTACAGCTTTTATGTGGTTCTGGTTTCCCAACTCTTTTAACATTATGATGTTCTCGCTGTTTTTCAGTTTGGCAGAAACTAGAAGAAGAAAATCAGGAATTTTTCCAAGCATATTACCTGAAGCTGATGGTGAAAGAGCAAATAATTGAATTCAACAGGTTGCTTTCGGAACAGGTGAAGATGACGCAGCAAGTTCCAAGTGCAATTGCTTCTCTACCTATGTCTAATGGGTGTAATATTATGCCAAGTAAGATGGATACTTAGTGAACCTTTTTGCATTTAGGTCTCATGCATCAATCAGTATCTTGTCACTGAGTAGCTACAAAAAGCACTTGTGTAATTGGGTAGTTCATGTTCAGTTTGTGCATATACTAAGTAGCATCCAACTTCTTAACTAGATGACTTTACCTCAAAGTGTCGCGTACACCAGAACTGCACTTAAACCTAATCGGTTGGCAGACTCTTCCATTTGGTCTGCAATCAAATGCCTGCTTTGTCTCAGTATATCTGATGCTGTTGATGTGGTTGCATTCATTTACATGTGGTTTATGCTAATTACGTGAGATACATCCAGAAGCCTCTAGTTTCATCTTCTTTGTATAGTTTTAAACTTCATTGTCTTACTACGAGGAGTTCCCACCTGTCCTCATTCCTTTCAGATACTCTCTTTCATTTGCCTCCACCGTACTTAAAATTTTCATTCCAGTACCTGATGTTTCATCTCTGCTACATTGGATGTTGTTTGCAGATTTTTAAACTATGCACATCATTGTAGAACAGTGACTTTTAACATTTTGATAAATTTTTTTGCATGTCAGTATCTTCCTTTATGTTCATGTTTATATCAAGCAGACACAGTTATCGTGAGGGTGGAAGTGGTTTCTGTACCATTTTCCTTTTACTGTAACTTCTGAAGTTGATTTGTCATCCATTATTGATATGTTAATGAGAGTCTTTGATGCATGTCTTTCCTGATATCACACTTGTCATTTTTGCGTTAACATGTCTAATCTCTTTTCTGTATATCTGGCTTTATGATCTTCGATGATGCAAACACTTTTCCCTCTAGCATTTGCACTTTACTTAATTCCTACTAAGACAGTCTTATACTTTTCTATGCTGAAAGATGCTTAAAGGGTTTTTTATGGTTGATTATTTTCTAATACCCATTGGTGGTTAATTTTTTCACCTTGAGGTTGTATTGGGAAAGGTATAATCATCTGTGATATTGGTAAAAAGCCAGCAAGCACAGTATTTTTATGCTTTACTGAAAGAATTCATGAGAAGAATCAGCACTCTTCTCTTTATTTTAGTCTGAGGTTCCAAATATGAAATTGCCTACTCATATAGTGATTCCTTTTATTTTAGTTTAGGGGCATGCGTGATGCGCGTGTACACCAATATGATTTTGTATTACATTGTAAATACATTTGACTTATAAAATAAATTTAAAATGAGAAAAAGTGTGAGTTTCAGAAGTTATAAAAGTTGATCTTGTTTAACTAACTCAATAAAAAAAGCTCTATCTCACAAAAGTCTTCTTATTGTTATTTCAATACTACATTATATGTGGTCAATTTAGTAGCATTGTAGTACTATTTCAAAAAAAAAAAAAAACTATTTCAAAAAAATTTAGTAGCATTGTAGTAGAATGTATTGACTTATAGTTGCATTACTCATAATTTTATTTTGTCTTTTTATTACATATAGACTTCTTTAGAAAACACAATAGAAAGATAAGCTGAAATAGCTAGCTTGCACAATTCAAACAAGATGAAATAATAAATTTAACAATAGAAAGCTTCACAGACCTTAAGAGAAGAGTATCAATAACTTTCTTCAGGCATTGATTTTTTTTTCAACATTGTAAAACTGCTTTTGATGTTATTTACTAATTATTTGTACCAAATAAACTACAAAGGTAGTGTGAAATCTACACCTTAATTATTTTTTTTTTGAATCAAGAGTTTCATTTTTATGAGAAAACAACGTCCTGTGTAGGTGTCTTCATCCTTCATACAATATCTTCAAGCATATGTAACTTTACAAAGAATTTTTATTTCATAATCTAATCCAAATCTTCTCTATTAAAGCACAAAATTACAAAAGGAAAAACTTTTGACAAATAATTCAAATAATTGCAACCCAACAAATCTATTATTAAATACGAAGCTAGAAAATAAAGCACAAATATATACAAAATAAAAAAGGTACTTTCAGCAAGATGTATGGAATATTAGTAAGAAGTATATAAATCACAAATAATATTACAATCCATCCTAAAAGAACTATAATCATATAAACCCAAAATATAACTAAGAATATCAATACAAGAATTATGTGATTACTGTCGGCGTATTTATGATACCCAAATAAAAGGCTCATACCATTATCAAAACCATAACGTGTTTTTCCCCCGACGTTTTCATCAAAAAGCAATATAATGCTTGAACTCAAAATTCGATAGTATTCTGTAACTGAAACCCAAAAGGAGGAAATATATAGGGAGTTGTACAAGTTGTGAATGTAGAACTCATGAAAAGCCTTTACATTGAGTTTGATAGACCGTGTGATAATGTGATTGACTATCAATCTTTTTTAGTGCAAATTTATAGAATATTGTAAAGAAAATGAAAAGGTGATGTGAAAAGGTTATTACTTTTTTTTTTTTTGATAAGGTAAAGGTTTATTGACTAAGTACCAAGAAGGTACCGAAACGGAACATTAAGATTGAAACAATTGCATGTAATAACTAAGCAATTGAAACATGTATTAATTGTGGGAGTATGAAACAATTTTTTACATTCAGATTCAATGTACACAGAAGACGTTTTATGTTTAGATTTTTTTTTTTTTATGTGATAGCAAAGTTGTTATCAATTATTTATGGGCATTTTCGTAGTCATGGAGGTTTCCTACTTTTAGTATTGTATGATGATGATGATTATTATTTTTTTTTTCTTGAAAAAGCTATGTATATAGTTATTTCGTCTCTAATGTGTTCCACACGTGCAAGTGTTAATTCTCCTACAACTCCCCTTACAATGTTGTATTCCGTTCTTAAGAAAAGAGATTTTCACATACTGCCAGTATGATACTGGGGCCAGTGTTAGTTGGGCGCTAATGTAGGAGGAATGCCAGATGTAGTGTTCATGGGTATGGAACTATGTATTGTTAGAATGTCAAGTGTTAGCTTTAGAATAGTGTTAAAGAATGAGATGATAATTTTGTTGTCCAACGTCAAACAAGTACTATGTAAGTCTTGGGTTTGACACCAATAAGTTGGTGTCTTGTATTCCATTATCGTTAAGTCTTCAATGTCTTATCTTCTATTTTTATTTTTCCACTTGGTACCAAGGCAGCACTATGTTCCTATGTTCCTTTCTGGCAACCATTCTGGCATCAGCTCACCTTTTTCTGATGAATGTTCTGGTGATACCACACCTCTTTATGGTGACTGTTCTAGTAGTGCCATGCCTTTCTGGGTGACCGTTTCAAGGACGCTGCGTCTCTTGTGCTGACGATTTCTAGTATTTGCATCTTTCTGGCCATTGTTTTGAGCAACATCTTTTCTGCTGAGTTAACGGAGACCAGAGCTGTTCAGCCAGATTTTCTGGTCAAAAGATTTAGCTGTACCTGTATAAGACGGAAGAGAAGACGTAGCACATGAGATGTTGCTCCTCTTATGTCGAGAGAAGAATACTGAATTTTTGATTGAGTAGAGAAGGATTTTGCATTTAAGGAATAACCTCTTACCCCTTACTTCTTTGGTGCATCCATGAGGTTCCCCACTTGTATAGAAGTTTGGGTGCCTTTCGGAGAAAGCCATATCATCACTGTTTAGTTTACCTCTTGTATAAGGGCAATTGTTGTTCTTGTTCTTTTGAATGAGATTTATTACATTATCAAAAAGATTTAGCTTAGTTTGTCTGATCTTTTCTGCAACAAGCATGACGAGCATCGTTTTCAGTATGGAGCCTGCCACTAAGCTTTTGTCTAGACTTATCCTTATCTTCATTGCCTTCTATTTGCTTGTTACCTGTGTTCTTGCTAGAACCTGCATTTGAGAAGCTGTGTTGTTGTCTCTAGTTAATGTTAAGTTTTCTTGCCTTACTGCAGTGCATCAAAGTTCAACTTGTGGTGCTGCGGAAAATGTTGGAACTGCTGCAAAGCCTAATGGCATGCACGAACCTGTACATGCTGATAGACCCAATGCATTCAGTAACAGCAGCTCATCTGTTCTCTCTTGCATGCAAACAACAATTGATATTCCTTCTCAAAGCAGGAAAATTGATGGTCCTCCTAGTATGTTTTTGGGCCAGCCCTCTAACATGGGGATGAGACAAACAATGGATGGGAGGATTATTAAGACAGAACCTATCTATGGTGGCAATTCTCCGTTTGCCTTTGGTCCTCATGGCACTTACTTGGAGTCACGTTCTGCAATGGGCGATGCATCTGTTTCATCGTTTAGTAGTGTGGAGTCGAACACACAACCTCTTAATGAACCTCTTCTGGATGCTGACACTTCTTCGTTTGGATATCTAGGGGATATACCTCAAAATTTTGGTTTCTCAGACTTGACTGTTGATTTCACTAATAGTTCTGGTATGTGTCTTCCTCTCCCTATTTTCTCCGTAATTTCACCAAGCATCTCTGGATTCGTCTTTTTCACTTTCAACGTTTCAGGTATTAAAATGAGCTGGTATTGATGCTAATCAGGCATACTTTATATTCGTTTTGACCATGTTCAGATATATTAGGGAGCTACTCTAGGACTCCCTTTCTAGCAACAGATACTGGCAACTTGCTCGATTCAAATGGTAGGTGGATATTCCCAAAGTAAGACTTCTGTACTTTTTTGTCATTCTCTTTGGATAACCAATATCATGTCTTTGACTTTCAGGAGGCATTGAGAGGTTAACCAATCCATCAGAGAAATTGAGATACACTAATTTCAGTGGAGATTGATTGTGTATAGGTAACTTTCTCCATCTTATAAGATTCATCAGAGTTGTAATACTTACTTTTGGTTCCATTTTGATGACGATTTTGAGTGGACATAATGTTTAAGATATTAATTTTGTTTTATGGTGCTAGTAGCACATGCATCGGTTCATAGGTGCAACATGATGATTGAAGGTGTAAAAAGGAATGAGATAGACCAATACTATATAGAATATTCATTGTAGAGAACTCATGTGCTTGGTTTTCCAACACACATGTGAGAATTATGATCTTCTTTCGTTCATTCCTTCACGTCTCGTTGAAGGAGGACTTGGTATAAGGATGAAGTAGGTGTGGTTTTTGTGCCAATTGATGGATGTTTCTTTCAGAAATGACTCACTGTTGATGTTTCTCACTGCAGATTCGATCAAAACACATACACGACGATAGCTTTTGTATATTGCTGGCTGCTCAAGTGGTTTAGAATAATTGGATTTTCTGGTATTGTAGGTTGAGGTTGTCATCATGGAGAATAATTCAAACATGAAAGATTTCAGTAGAGATCTTTGTACAAAGAGTTAAATGTGATTTAGAACATTGTTATTTTATCCACGTATAGCATACTGTCTGATTTTTAGTGTAACTATGAAACAGTATTGAAGTTTTAGTGCATATCGGACCTGAAAATTTCAGCATTTATTTTTATTTTTTACCATTTCGTAGAAGCTCCTTGACGATTCGAACTCACAACCTTAGGGTCGGAGGTGGAGGGTGCTTAAAATATGAAAAATATTCCTCTTTCATGGTTGTGATTTCATCTACTGACAAGTTATCTCATCTTGCAAGATCCACACAAGTCATTTAAAGAAATAATGTTCATATGTCAATACAATAGATCCATCCAAAGAGGTTCTTTTGATGTACAACCACAACTTTTTAACAAATAAAAAAAGGCAGCTCAGTGCACAAAGCATCCCACGTTTACACAGGGTTCGGAAAGGGATTCACTCCAAGGGGTGTGATGTTGGCACCCTACCTTGATGCAGCACCGCAAGGGGATGTGTCTACACTGGTCAAACCCATGATCTATAGTCACACAAAGACAACTTTACTATTGCTCTAAGGCTGCCATCGAAGTACAAATGCAAATCAATAAAGAAAAATGTCTTCAACTTCCTAGCTTCCATCTAGCAGGATATGAACAAATGAAACAGCTTAAGAGAATCATTGAGCTTTACAAGATCAGCAAATAAGCTTGAGTCAGTTATACCTGTTGAACCAGTATTGCAGTTTTTATATGCACATCAGGTTGACGAATCCAAGGGGTAAATAAGGACCTTGAGCACTTCATTTCCATATCCTTCTTGCTCTTCCTGAATTTGCCTGACTGAGTTTTCAAGAGACTCACCGCATCGTTTCACTTCAATCATCTTCAGAGTAAGAATTTCTCCAACAACAGAAGGAATTTCTTGAAGATGGAAGCAGTTTTCTACCAGAAGCTGTTCGAGGTTGGGCAAGGACTCATCTGAGGCATTCCATGTTGTAATTTTAAGGGATCTCAATTTAAGAACCTTGAGGGTCAGAAACTCTTCATCTTCAATGTCCCATTTTTCCTGTTGAAATGCTCTATGCTCCAACTTGAGAACCACTAAATTTGGTAATCTTCCGATATTAGACATTACACTTTGTGGCAACAAAACATCTGATGAGTTAGCTTTGTTAGTGTTTCAGGCAAGCTGAATTTCAAGATCTTACCATTCACACTGAGTGTTTCAAGTTGAAGAGCATCCAATCTGAGTTTGAGAGGCTCTTTACACTGGCACTTGAGCTTTCGCAGTCTATTTGCCATCTTGATCATGTAGTCTGCTTGCTTATTAGTCAGAGACACTGTGGCCAAAAGATGCAACAGGTACTACATGGACATGCTTTAACCCTGGCATATCCCAGATGGTCATCGGCAGTATTGTACCACTGCCTACTGTTATTACAAGCAATACCTCTAGGTTTGAAAGGTTCGATATCCATGATGGCATTGATTCCATATAGCCTTTGATTCCTAAGTACTTCAGATGGATCTGATCTTTTAATCTCTGGAATGAACTGTCTGACACAGGACATTCCATTTGTAGAACTCTTACAGTTTAAAGTTCTCGAGATCAAAAAATTCCTGGCAGCCAGATTTCGGGGGTCTGAAGAATGCAGACCGAACTTGCAGGTTTCCAATCCTCTCTGCCCAATAAAGGCTACGATCAATGCAAAGCCTCCGATTCTCATAAAAGGAACTTGAAAAATCTGTCTTCCCATTGCTTGCTAGCTGCATAAACTTCTCTTCCTTGGCTTTTGTCACACAAAAATCATGCAACACATCATGAATGTGACATGTTCTGACTCCTCCAATGGACCTTTTCTTGCTCACCATAATCAAGCTTCTTCCGATGAGATCATTCAGTAAACTTTCAGCAACAACTGTGTTTGGAATAAATCCCTCAATAGTCCATAACCATGCCAAGTTTGTGAATGAAATTTTTTCATCCTCCTGAAATGATGCAAAATAAAGAAGGCAGGGCTTGAGGTAATCTGGCAAGTGCTTGTAGCTCAATTCTATTACATCCAAGCACTCTTTTGCACTAGTGACAGTATCTAAATTTGTACTCTCTGCAATTTTTTCTCCAACTTTCCTCATTTTTGCTTATCCCAGACAAAACTCCAGCTACCAAAATCACAAGGAGAGGTAGTCCTTGACACTTTCTCGCGATGTTTTCTCCTACTTTAGATAGGTCTGATGGACAAGTTTGTTCCTTGAACAGCTTGATTTTCATCAGTTCCCAACTTTCATTTTCGAAAAGAGCACGAAGGTGAAGAGGTGCTCTATCAGGGTTAATTTCTGAAGCCACATCGCTGAGTCTGCTAGTTAATAAAATCCTGCTTCCATTATTATCATCCGGGAAGCATCCTCTCAAGTCATCCCATGTGTCAACACTCCAAATGTCATCAATGTAGAGAAGGTACCTCTTCCTTTTAAGAGTTTCTGCAAAGCATCTGCTGGATTTTTCTCATTCTGTTGATTGGAACTTTTAACTTGATTCAAGATTTCAAGCAGCAACTTTCTCCTGTCATAAGCTTGGGAAACACAGCACTTAGCTTTGACATCGAAATGAAGTTGTATGTTCTCATCATGATAAACTTTCTTTGCTAGTGTAGTCTTTCCAAGACCAGGCATCCCTACAATAGACACAATATCCAAGTCCTTTGGTCCTCTAGTGAGCCGGTCGATTAGCAAGTCAGTCTCTTCATCAAAACCTACCACTACCTCATCAAGTTGTGTAGTCTCAACTACTTGTCTGACAGGATTTGGTGTTTGTTCTTCGATAAGGACTTCAACTTCTCGCACAATCGTAGCATGGAACTCTTCCAACTGATCCTTGACAAGCTTAGTTTCGTTTGTGATCTTACATAACAAATGCAGATACCAAACAGGATAATCTCCGGTAATCAGGCAATCAATAATGCATTCCGCCTGGTATGCGAGAGATATGACTTTTGTCCAAAGATCATGTTTCTTCACCTCCTCAAACTCATGTTTTTTCTTCTCAAATTTCTCCATGCAGGACCTTAGGAGAGATAACTCCTCCTGAGATTCTGCGATAAGATGCTTGACAACAGAATCACACTTTCCGTCTTGCAGCAGATCTTTCAGATAGCGTAAGAGGGAATCAATAAAGCCTAATCCATTTGTCCTGGGGTAATTACACTGTGATGATAATGGAGCTTCCAAAATGACATCTTTTACATCTTCCATGACACTGCCAATCTTTTTTAACAAAGTCTGCGAATACCGAGTTAACTTCTGCTGCTTTATCAACAGAGAAAGAGTAAGCAGCAGATGCTACCTCAGCAATAAGACCTTCAATGCATGTAAGAATGTCACTCAATTTCCCCTGATTGACACATAGATCTTCAGGTGGATAAATGAGCAAAGTTACCAATTGCTTTGATGCATGGTAAAGGTCATTTATAAGAGGAAACATCAAAGAATATGCCTCACCATTTGATAACTCCAACAGATCCTTGAAGAGAAACTGAACAAAACCTTCCACAAATTCTTTCACATCCCGGATGTACTGGATTTGGAATTTAACTAAACCTCTTAGAGCTCCAGTATAGATTTCTGAAACACGGGGATCAATGGGGTTGATCTCTCGCAAAACGTTAGAGATCTTAAGTCTCAAACCAGATGCCAGATCATTGTCCATTTCTTCCACATAACATAGGTAACAAATGTAAGCAGCATTCCGAGTGACAACCTCCACGTGATCAAAGAGCATTCTGGATTTCTCTAGTTCCATGTTTGCATCTTTTATGAAATTGAGGAAGGTTTTGAGATATTTTAAACTTTCTTCAGAAGAACAAACTTGTCCAGCTCATTCTTGTTCATGAAAAGATCCATCACATTCTGAAGGATGTATTCGATGAACTTATGAAACAACCGGCAGCATACATTTGGTAAAGTCCATCTTCCTGGAACCAGTGATAGGAGAAACTCATAACCTTCTATGACTTCTGCAGAAGATAAGTCTGACCTTGGCCCCGAAAAAGTATCACCGACTTGCATTCCATGTCCTAGCAATCTCCCATCCTTAATCCTCCCTTTTTGAGTTGCCCAAAACAAAAAAGTATCAAGAAATCTCCTCTCTATTTCAGACATTTGTTTCCCCGTCAAAGTGTCCTGAGAATAAAGAGACATTTTAGGACCAAACATGAGATTTACAACCTTATAACAGAATTTCTTTGATATGTTTATAACTCTTTACAACAGGAACATGAGATTTTCTTTTTCTCTGTAAAGAAAACTATGTTGCTCGGACTCTTCAAAAGTGTTAACAGGTGTGTGTCGGATTCTCCAAAAGTAGTGTATTTTTGGAGAATCTGACACGGGTGCAACATCGAATTGGGACTTCCTGGCATGAATTCAGATTAGTCAGGGACCAAAGCAGGTCCCAAACATCGGGTAGAAAACCAAAAAAGATGATACTTGTATGTACAGATTTACTCGTTTGAATTTATACTATTAACTGATTCAACTTACAAAACTATTGACCAACAGGCAAGTCATAATTAAAATCATACTAAACTCAAAATTTCAGTACTGATTGTATAAAGATTCAGTTTTATCATGTTAATTACACATAGTTGTTACTGTTCAATTTTTGTTCAAGATGCAATAATGCAATAGAAATAAGTTGGCTCAAGAGTCTATTACCTTTGATAACTCTGAGAGAACAAGAATTACTTCTTGCTGAGTATTTTCATTTATTTACTCAAAATGTAAGAAAGTACTAATGAAGGATAAGGCACAATCATTAAGGCACAACTACCCAGAGACACACCTTAACTAAACTAAGGTCCTATTATCTCGAATCCATTTTTTTCTTAATTTCGTACACCTTTTTGGCTTACGTGCCATCCAAAAATTTTCCACATGCCTCAACTACGTGGAGTCACAGAGTGTGCCACGTAAGCCAAAAGGTGTACAAAATTATAAAAAAAAATGAGTTCGAGGGGTAATAGGACTTCAATTAAAGTGTCTCTCTAAGATTTCGATCATAGTCTAGGGGTACTTGTGCCTTATCCTGAACAAGAGACTTGGGAGCAAGTTGGATTCTTTTTTAATCAACTAGTTTAGTTGTTTTACATTTGGTGAGTCATGTTAAGTGTGATGGATTTTTTTTTTTTTATAGCCATTGACCTTACTTTGTTTTTTAGTTAAACAAAGAGAAGACTCAGACAACTTTGTGTGAGACACAAAATGGGGGTGAACAATTGGATCAATATTTGCAATGACTACATTGATTCTTGAAAGAGCCTCAGAAATCATGGGATTTATCAAATACCAAAACATTTACAGACCATTTTTTTAGTATTCAGGGGCTACTCAATTGAAATTGGGCAATTTTCTCAATTTTTCGAGTGTTAGTCAATAAATTTTTTGGTGATATGGTTTTCAGACACTTTTTTTTCCAAAATCTTTACAGGACCTTCCGCAATGACTTAGGGGAATAATACGTATAACCTCACCACGATCCACAATATTTTCTAGCATTTAGGGCCACTCTTTCTCAGTTTTTCATGTGTGACGAAATTTTTGGAGCTATGATTTTCAAGCACTTTTTTTTTTCAAAACCTTTACAAGACCCTCCATAATGTCCTGGGGGGACAATATGTATGGTCTCACCATGATCCATGCCATTTTTTAGTATTTAGGGTCCACTCAACAGGAATTAGGCAATTTTCTCAATTTTTCATGTATGTTAGTACATGATTTTTTTGGTGATATGGATTGTTGAAACTTTTTTGCAAAAACATTCCAGGACCCTCTGTAATGATAACAATACTATAATTCACGCCACTTTCTTAGCATTTAGGGTCCATTCAAAAGGAATTAGATGATTTTCTCAATTTTTCGTGTATGTTAGTACATTAATTTTTGCCATAATACATAAATATGCCTTTTAACTTTGCTTCAACTGATATCTATGTCCTCCAACTTTGGATATGCACAAATAAACACTTTAACTTGTATAAAGTTACCATCGGTGATATGGTTTTCAAGCACTTTTTTCTTAACTTTTTCTGTCAATTCTTCCTAAAAACTGACATTTATCTAACTCCATTCTTTTTTTAAAAATAAATAAAATACCCAGCACTTGGCCAGTGGCACCAAATGACCATTTATCTGACTCCATATTATAGGAATGAGTCAATTTTAATTTATTATCTGTTTAGTTGAATGGTCACTATTTTCATAAATTTATACATCAACTATTGCTATTTTTATCTTTCAATTTATACATGAAATGGTCAATCAATAAGGCAAGAAGATTAATACTTGTTGCTTTATCTTAATTGATCACATCATGAAAATTATACACATTAATTTTCTTCCATATTATAGATATTGTGTATAAGGGAAAGGGAAAATGAGGAGGGAATTACGAGGAATCAAACCCTCATCAATAATGTGAAAGTTCATGTAACCAACCAACCAAACTATTAAGATTTTTCCGAATATATATAGCATAACACTACTAAAGAATGAAAAATGTTTCTTTGTATCTCCATATTTAAAATTTGATAGTTCACTTAGTAGGTTCATAATCCACATTGGTCATTTAAAGAAATATATGTTTTATTCTTCATTTGTAATTGTTTATCAAAGCTTTGTTCTAATAATTGATATTATTTTATAACGTCATATATTGTCCGACTCGATATACACGCAAGAAAATTTTAACCAATATGTTGAATGAAATATGATATGCATAATATGTAAGGGCATCTCCAACCCAAACACCAAATTTCAACACTATATTTGGTGTAATCAACTCCAACCCACTGCACCAAATTTTACATCAAAAAGGAATATTTTTCTCTCTATTCATTATTATATTATTATTTCATTTATATTTTCTTATTTCATAAAACAAATTCTTTCTAAAACATTCACCATATATAATTCATATTATTTCCTTTTATAATCGTTTAATATAAAATTATTTTGTACCATAATTTTTTAAATAATATAAATTGCTAGCAAATATTATACATTATACGTAATAATGGATAATACAAATAAAAGTGAAATCATTAATAAAATACAATTAAATAAACATTACATAATTGAAAAAGTATTTTAAATTCTATATAAATATTCAACTTTCAAGATCACTACGGTGCTCCCATAAATGCTCTATTAATGCATTACGTAGTTCAAAATGGGCAATGTTTGCATTTTTAATTTTTGTGAAGGTTAATTGTAGTTATATCCAATTATAATTTATAGTAGAATTAACATAAGTTTAATTTTAAAAAAAAGTCATATATAGAAAAATTAATTTATAAAAAAGCTAAATTTTATATCTAAAATTAATATTATAAAAATATTACATAAAAAATAATTAAATATACAAGAGATTTAATTAAAACATACAATTTATATAATGTTTAATTAAAAGTTTGTATAATGAAATAATATTAAAATATTCAAAAAGTGAATTGGTGTGATGAATAATGTTACACCAAATTTGGTGTAACACTATTCACACACCAAATTTGGTGTGGGTTGGAGATCAAAACGCCAAATTTTACACCAAATTTAGGATTTGGTGTTGGGTTGGAGATGGTCTAAATATGTCCTTTAAAATGGTTTCAGCTGACATCTAAACCCTCCAACTTTGGGAGTGCACACATAGATACTTAAACTTGTATAAAATTGAACAAGTAGACAACGTGTCCTATGTGACATAATACATGTAGAACGCCATGTAGGACACAAAATTGACATGTATGACTCCACGTAAGGCGAATGTGTTTATTTATTTGATTTTATACTAGTTTAAGTACCTATATGTGCACACCCAAAGTTAGAGGATATAAATGTCAGTTGAGGTAGAGGTAGACAAAAGAAGTATTGGGGAAAGTGATTAGACAGGACATGGTGCAACTTCACATTACCGAGGGCATGACTCTAGATAGGAAAGAGCGGAGGTCGCGTATAAGGGTAAAAGGTTAGTAGGGGAAGAGTATTGTCTTGCCCTGTGAAAGCTTAGGCTTGTTAGCGTATGCCACAGTACTAGTCGTGTTCTTGTCATATGTTGTTTATTGTACTTCGTTTATCATATGTTGTTTATTGCATTTCGTTTATCACACTATTTTGCTGTTAGTATTGTTTCTTTCTTGTAGACCTTACAATAATTCTTTTCGTATTGTCTGTTATGCTTTATTCATTGTTTTCTTCCACTACTTGAGTTTGATGCACTTGAGTCGAGAGTTTTAGAAACAACCTCTCTACCTTCACGAGGTAGTGATACGGTATGCACACTTAGTGAGATTTCACTGGGTATGTTGTTGTTGTTGTTGTTGTTGTTGTATGAAGAAATTAAGTTGAAGTGTGTTGGTGTTTTCATCCAAAAGTAGATAACATAAATAGATAAATTGCAGAATATCAGACAGGAAGCAGGCATCATGTCAACAGCATTGTGACTTCTTATATAAAAAAAATACTCTTGTTAGAGTCAACTCTACTTGTTTAAACAATTCTTGGAACGAAATGCTTAAATGAAGAGAGTGGTAAGTACCAGTAACCAAAACAAGTTTGTTTTTTTGTTCGGAAATTGAAAAAAAAAAAGACTAAAAGAAGCTCTCCATGGATATTAGTGAGTCGACTCAGATGAAGGCGATTCTAGGACCTGAATCCGAGCCATTTGAAACTTTCATTTACGATCACATGGAGAGATCAGGGGAAAATGATTCAATATTGAACATGATGAAGCTCAAGGATCCTGACTCCCTTGCTCTTAAGCTTTCTGACTTTCTCAGTTCTTCTCAAAACTCTGATTTCCGTGAAAAATGTGCTAAAATCCTTTATGAATTGCTTGTTGGTGATGGTGAGGGGTGCATTTGGAACAATCTAAGTTCATCAACTCAATCCACCATCAAGTGTATCCTTGTTGTTCGTATAATGCTCGAAGAATCAGAATCCATCATCAAGCACTTATGCTACAGCTTTTCGAACCTATTTCTACCATCTGATAGCTGGCCTGAATTGTTGCCTTTCTTACACGAATGTGTTAATTCCAATTCAAACACGTTAAGAGACTCTTTTTTCTTAATCTTCTCTGGATTTTCTGAAGTCGTTTGCCAAACATTAGTCCCTGATATAATGATCTCGTTCCCAGTTTTCCTAAATACACTGAATGATGATACCCTTGATCCTCAAGTGAGGGTCGGGGTTCTGACCACTGCAGTCTGATTCATTCTGTACCTCCCCAGTTCAAATGATAGGGAGTGGTTTCAGAATCTATTGCCAGCTATGCTGAGGGCGCTGACTGACGCAGTGAGAAATGATGCTGCACAAAACATGCTAAATCTTTTTATTGAGTTGGCAAAGAAAGAGCCTAGGTTCTTCAGGAGGCAGCTTGTGGATGTAGTGAGTGACATGTTTGAGATAGCTGAGGATAAGAGTGTGAAAGAGAAGACAAAGCACTTGGCAGTTGAGTTCGTGTTAACTTTGGTTGAGGCGAAGAAAAAGGCTCCGGGGATGATGAAGAAGTTACCCTTCTTTACAAACAGATGTTTTGCAATGATTTTGAAGTTGTTACTGGATATTGAGGATGAACCTAGCTGGTATAGCACAGACACTGAACATGAGTACGCAGGGGAAACTGTTGAAGTTTGCTTTTAGTTACTGCAGTAACTTTTAACAAAATAAGTTATTTAGTTTGAATAAATTTGAATTTTGAATTTTAGTTAGTTTGTTTATGTTGTTGAGATATTTTAGGTTGTTTAAATTTTAAATTATGCAGATTATGTGTTCTATGTTGGCTATTTAAAGCCCTCAATGCTTAATAAAATTATTGAAAGCTATTGAAAGTCATTTCAATCCATTGAGAGACATTTTCAATCTTTTTGTGCTGCCCCCATTTTTAAAAAACACCAACAGTGGTATCAAGAGCTTCATTGATCTTAAGGGATCTGTGAAATCTTCCAAAGAACTACCATACATTTTTAACCTGTAAGGGCTACCTTTTTAACCCGTCAAGGCTACCCATTTTAACCCATCAGGGCTACTTTTTCAACCCGTGCATTTTTCAACGCACAGGCTTTTCTAAATCATTTTTTAACCAAAATAATGGCAAGCAACTGTCTCTCTTTGAATGCCCCACAAATTTTCACAGACGAAAACTATCAAATTTGGTCTGTGAGAATAAAACCATATTTTGAAACATATGTGATATGTGAGGTTGTGATGGAAGAAAAAACTCTTACAGCCTCACTCTGCAAATTATACAAAAGTTCAGATTAAAGCACTTTCAAAAAAACTTC